CCCTCATTTCAATCAAGTTTTCATCATAAGTAAGATCACCCGGTATAATCAATATTTGCTTGATTTTTAAATCGCTATCACCTCAAGTGACCCAAATTAAGCAAAAATGTTAATCAAGGCCTGGCCGATGAGACTAAAGCAACCCGAAAACATATAAATAAACATTGAAGATTGAAGACAACAATTTCAATTTATATGTATAGTAAAAGCCTGGAATCGATCCAAACTACAGCGCGTGTGTACTATTGAATGCGATTTTTGAGGCGATTCGAACTTCGCTCGAATTTTGGCTGAATCTCGGCAAGATTCTGAATGGATGTGATGTGAAACAGTTCGGAGTGAATGCATCTTTGAGTAAGTCTATAAAACGCCGATAGTTTTACGGTAAATCGCTAGGATTTTGAGTATTCCTGATAACAAGTGGATGGTTTGGGGCACGTGGTTGATATATTTAGATCGAACAGTGGCCCTGAGTAGAAAGAGAAAGGAGAAACAAGTTCATTTATTGATGAGGTTCCACTGTTAGAATGCACGGCGTCATCTCGTAGGAGATTGTTGAATTTATACGAAAAAGCAAAAAACTCCGGGATTTAAACAGATACTGGATGATTTTCTGCATCTGCGGTCTGTGGCGGTCTTCTTTCTGCATGTAACTCTTCAGTAGGGCTTAGATCGGTACTGTCAGGAGGCCAGGTACAATTCAGTATCTATAAAAGGCGATTATCTGGTTCAACTAAAATTCGCATTGTACAGTGAAAAAATCGCTAAATAACCCCGCAATTCAGCAGCCTTGAAATGTAGATAAACTGATGTATAAACATAATTCAAAAGTTATCATTTTATAGGGCATTCGTCGCACTACAACATGTATTTGCACTGATTTAACGTCTAATCCCCCTTGCCTCACAATTGCCCACATTCTAGCTAAAGTAACAGTTTTAGATAGAACTTCCGCTGAAATTTCCCCATAGTGTCCACACTAAGGATGGCAGGGGTTGAAGTGACCTTTGGCGTATGGGACTATGTGGTGGTTGCAATTGTTCTTCTCATATCAGCCTCTATTGGCGTCTATTATCGGTTTACCGGCGGTAAACAGAAAACAGTACAGGTGAGCCAAAGTAGCTGATTTTCTTAGGTTTCTTCTGTCCAACGGAACTGTAGTTAGTGGACAGAACCGAACACCTTGTATATGATTACATTTCGCATTGTTTTACAACCCAGATAGCATTTGATATTCTATGAATATCGCAGAATGTTCAACAAATATACAGAACATTGCGGGAATATCCTAGGAATATACATGGTTGAACATTCCTAACATGAATGTTCGTGGAGTATATATGCATGTATATTCATCAAAGTTCATAAAAAGTATATCCTAGGTATGTACATATATGTACATATTGAATGAATGTATATCTACGGTATATTCCAAATTGGTTGAATATAAATTTTGCGTGCCCGCAGCAGAAAAGTGAGGGCATGTAAAAGTAAATCTTCTTACTACTAAAACCTGAGACCCTTATGAAATACTGAAAATATGGTCTTTTGATTAACAAATTAACAAAATTTATCGAAAATAAATTTTGCATGCCCGCAGCAGAAAAGTAAGGGCACGTACAAGTACAAGAGTTTATATGAACTTTTCTTTTTAAATGCGTCAACGTTGTAATTTTATTGGGCAATATTAATAAAATTTCTATATTACTCAAATAAATTTATCCGGAGCCCACCTTATGAAATTCAAACAATTAAAATGCATATAACAAATTCAAATTACCCGCTGAGTGTGACATTCGAGAGTGACAATAAGAGCGGACCAATGAGAATCATCTTTCACGCAGTGCTGCTTGGCGGTAACGCCAAAGCTCTCAGAATTTCTGAAAAGCTGCAAAGCTTATAATTTATT